CCAATGCTATGCCATACCCAATGGAGGCCAGAAGAGGGAGCTGTATCCCTTGGGAATGGAGTTACAGAAGGTTGTTAGCCACCATGTGGGTGCTGGGAACCAGACCTGGTTCCTCTGCAAAGGCAGCCAGTGCTCTTAACTGCTGAGCCATCTCTCCAGCCCACCCCACCCCCACTTCCTTTTTTGAGACAGGGCTCAATATGTAGGTCTGTCTGACCTGGAACTTTCTATGTAGGCCAGGATGGCCTGCCTCTGCATCTCAGGTGCTGAGATTAAAAGCCTGTGCCAATACATCTGGCTAGTAAAAAGTTCTAAATGCTAGAAGTATTCTAGGCATTCATTATAAAAAAATCATGAAAATGGTGCATATTGGTATGATGAATTTTAAGGTTGTTAATATGATGTGAGAAAATGCTTAAATCATAATAGGAAACAGATTAGAATAGTTTATATATGAGCTTAAATACATAAATTCAAAAATATATAAAAACAGAATATTAACTTCCAGGTTACTGAATTTTTCTGTCTTTTCATTCAGCTTTTTCTGCAAAAACTGATTCAGTACTGTTCCAGTACTTGCCTTGACGTCCTTGTGCCAAATGATTACACTTCCTAGCGCTCATTTTCTCTCCAAACTGTTCAATGTATATTTCATTCTGCCCCATTTGTTCTTTTTCATCGTAGATCTGCATAATATTCACCATTCTACTGATTTGACATTAGTTTGTCTCGAAATTTCCTCTGCCAAACAAATTAGTCCATTACCTTTCAACTCAGCCTCAGGCAAGTTCTTAGGCCTAGGGCAGATAGCAGCCAGACTCTGCCAAAATCTTCAAGTCCTTGTTTCCTTCTCCTACTGGGACATCTTGAGCCAGGCCTTTATTAGAATGGCCCATTAAACTCTGCTTATAGCTTTCAACTGCTGTTCTAGTCAAAACTTCCAAAGTCTTTCAGATTCTTTCAAAAACCAACATGACCAAGTTATTCTCAGTAACAGCTCAGTCTCTGATAAAATTCTATATTAGTTACTTTTCTGTTGCTGTGTAAAATGCCACGTCCAAGGCCACTTATAGAAGAATTCATTTTGCTTACAGTTCCAGGGGGGTAAGCATCCATCATGGCAGAGGTGGCTTGTCAGGAGGCAGCCAGAGGAGAAAGCTGAGGCTCACTTCTTCAAGAGGGCATAGGAAGCAGAGAGACAGACACCAAAGATGGGACACACCTTTGAAATCTCAAAGCCCTTCCCCAGTGACACGCTTCCTCCAGAAAGGCCAAACCTCCTGAAACCTCCACAAACAGTGCCACCAACTGACCAAGTGTTTGAATACACAGGCCTATGGGAACACCTCATTCAAACCACCACACAGTGGCATGAATAAATTGCAATTTAATTTTATCATTCACTTTAAAAAGTGTAGTATTATTTTTTAACTGAAAGAAGGCATTACTGGACTGGAGAGATAACTCAGTGGTTTAAAACACTGGCTGTTCTTGCAGGAGACCTGAGTTTGATTCCCAGCACCCACATGGCAGCTAACAACTATCCATAACTCCAGTTCGAGGGGATCTGGTGCCCTCTTCTGTCCTCTGTGGGTACTGTGTAACACGGGTGCCCTTACATACATGCAGGCAATATACTCATACACATAAAAATAAATAAACAAATAAATTAAAAAAGAAAGCATTACAAATGTATATCTGCATTTCAAAATTATAACAATTTTATTTTGTGACAGGGTCTCATTATATAGTCTTGGCTATCCTGGTACTTGCTATGCAAATGAAGCTAGGCTTGAAGTCACAAAGATACATCTGCCTCTGCCTTCTAAGGACTGAGATTATAAGTATAAGCCACTACATCTGACCAATAACTGCATTTTAAAAAGTAAATATTTTAATAGTAAAACATTTTATTATAAAAATATTTTCCAAATACAAGCTAATCTTTTGAGAGAAGCAATAACCTGAAGCCATGTCAGGGAAGTGAGAGAAACAATAATGAGAAGAAAGATGGCTATAGTGTAGTGGCGCACGCTTTTGATCCCAGCACTGGGGAGGCACAGGCAGGTGGATCTCTGTGAGTTCAAGGCCAGCCTGGTCTACATAGTGAGTTCCAGGACAGCTGGGGCTACAGGGAGACCCTGTCTCAAAAAGACCAAAAAATAAAAAATTAATAAAACCAAACCAAAAATAAAAGAATAATATGACCACAGGCAAACAGGAAAACTTATGGCATTACACTTGTCTGAAAAAAATTTAAATTAGGAAAGTCTCAATCTGCAATCTGAGAATATTCAGTGACACGAGACCAAAACAGAAATATGCTGATAGTAAAGTCACCACTAAATCCATGAAATGTTTAAAAAATAAATGTTAAAAAAATGTTTTAAAAGTTGTTTTAAAATTTCAGCTTTGGTTTGGTTTCTATCTATTAGTGCTAAGTCCAAAGTCATGCTGAAGTACACGTCTATTAACTCTGCATGTTTTCCTCTCTCCCAAGCCTTAGCTGTTTATAGTTCCCGTTAATTTTCTCAAGTTCTACTTTCTGGGCCTGAGGACAGATGGGGTTTCAAAAGCTGACATTCTTCTTACAGAACAGAAGCAAGCACGTAGGCTTTCTCCTCGCTCTTATCCCATCTGTCCCTTCCAAGACAGGCTCCTGAATGATTCGGTTTATACTTGGGTGTGTTTCTGTACATTTGCATAAGAACATTTTCAGGATATCTCACATATATTATCCCACTTTGATCCTGTGTCTGGTTCAGCTACATCTATGTTGGGATGAAAATAACATCAAAGATTCAGGGAGATTAAGAGACTTGTCCCAAGAATCCACAGCCAGCTCAGGCAAGGAACAGAACAAGAATGTCCATCTCCTAATTCCTAGCTATGAGGTATCATGACTCTGTCAAACTGTTTATATAAGCAAAAGGGCTGATAATAAACTTTTTTTGAGACAAGGTCTCCCTGTAGCCCCAGCTGACTTGGAACTGACTATGTAGACCAGGCTGGCCTCCTGAGTGCTGGGATTAAAGGCATGTGCCACCATGTCAGATGATAGTGAACTTTTTATTCCCTCCAGAGAATGTTCATGAATTGCCAGATACAGAATTCTTTCTGGATATTGCAACAGATTGAATATTTATTCTCCCTTCTTCACATGTCAAACCTCAAGTCCCCAAATTAGAGGTAGAGCCTTGGGTGCTATGGAGTCTTAATGGCATTAGTGGCTGTGCTAGTTTGAATGAGAACATTCCCCATAAACTCCAAGTATTTGAATGTTTTGTCTTCTGCTGTTGGCACTGTTTTGAGAGGTATAGGAGGTACAGCCTTGCTGGAGGAAGCCCATCACTGAAGGTGACTTTAGCATCACCTCACTTCCAGGTTTCTATGCCTTCTTGAGAATGGAAGCTCTTGGCTTTCAGTTCTGGGCTTCCTGCCATGCCTCCTCTCCATGATGGACTCGTATCTCTCTGGAACCATAAGCCCAATAGACTCTTTCTTCTATAAGTTGCCTTAGTCATGGTGTTTATCGCAGTAACAGAAAACTAATATAATAGCCTTGAAAGAAGGGATGTGAAGGAGAGATTGCTCTTATCTCCATACCATGTGAGGATATAGTAACATCCATCTTCAAGGGATCCATCTTCTCCTTCTGTCCTCCACAGGCAGTCTTCCCACATGATATATAGCCACATACACACACACATATACATACATATAAATAAAAATAAAAGTGGGGTGTGATGACACACACCTTTAATTCCAGTATTCCAGAGGCAGAGGCAGGTGAGATTGAGGCCAGCCTGGTCTACATAATCAAGTTTCAGGCCAGTCTAGGCTACAGGGAGACCCTGTCTCAATACATCAAAAAAAAAAAATCATAAAAAAGAAACCAGCTGTCTATGAACCAAAAGAGGGCCCTCACCAGAAGGATCCACCCACCTGATCTGCTAGTGCCTTGCTTTCTGGACTTCCTAGACTCGAGATGCTTGAAAATTAATACTGTAGTTCAAGTCACCCTGTCCAGGATATACCAGAGCTAAGCCAGGAACTATATTTGGGCACTGAATTTGTCATAGTGTTGTCTAAGTCACAAATGCAGGTACTAACTTACCTTTTTTCTTTGACAATAAACAGGGAATTTCAATTCTAGGGAGAGAGCAGACACTGTTATTGTTCTTAGTGAGGAACTGAAGGGCTTGTTTTAAATAATTTCCAGTCTTAACAATCAATTGACAGAATCCCCAGAATACACATCTTTCCTTTCCATTTCTTCTAGACACGTGAAATTTATAAGGAATAAAACTGCAGATAAATCCATTGACTTGGGAGCACAGAGCAATCTTATTGTATTGACAGAAATATTATGTTACTTTGTTAATAAACAAATTCAGAATAAATAAGCACTGGAGACTTTTAATGTGGTATGAGCTCTCAATTTCCACTGGATTCCAAGCTTCTCTAATTCCATGCTACTTTCTTTTTTCAGTACACATATGGTTTCCATTTCTTCTAGTTAAATAGAAGTTTGAGCTTTTAGTTCTAAGTGATTGTGTTATTTTCTATTCCCAACATTATGAGTTTCCCTATATCCTTTCCAACAGTTGGCATTGTACTGAATCTTTTGGTCAGATGGCCATTTTCACAAAATTAATTCTTCCCCTCCATGAGCATGCAATGCCTTTCCATTTTCTAGTGTCTTTCTCAGTTTCCTTCTTCAGTTTGCACTGAAGAGGTCTTTTGTTTCCACAGTTAGGTTTGAAATTGTGCATTTAAGTTTTTGGCTATTGTGGAAAACAAATCCCTGATTTCTTTTAATATCTTATTTGTATTGGCATATTGGAACGTCACTGATTTTCATTTGTTAATTTCATATCCTGCCACTTGGATGAAAGTATCAGCCATGAAGTTGTTTGTGTGTTGCCTCTATGGTTTCTTATTTGAGGAATCATATCATCTGAAAATAGGAAAACTTTGATATCTTTTACTATTTGTATCCATTTTTATTTCTTATCTTACTGCTTTAGCTAAGACTTCATGCATCATGTTGATTAGGAGTGGGAAGAGTGAGCATCCTTCACTTTTCCCTCATCTTAATGGGATGCTTTGAGTTTTTCTCTATTTAGCACGATGTTGACTATAAGTTTGTCTTTTATAGCCTTCATTTATGTTGAAGTATGCTCACTCCGTCAATAGACTTTCCATGACTTCATCATGAAAGAATATTGGGTTTTGTCAAAGGCCTTTTCTGAATCTATTGAGATAATCATGTGATTTCTACATTTGAGTCTATTTATGTGACAGAAAACATACACTGATTTCTGTATGTTGAACCATCCCTGAATCCCTGGGTTGAAGCCAACTAAAATTCAAGTTGTAGCTATTTTATTGAGGATTTTTCTATCTATTGTCATCAGGGAGATTGGTCTGTAATTTTACTATTTTTTAAATCTTTATATGGTTTTGGTAGCAGGCTAAGGTTGACTTCATAAAAAGAGTTAGAAGGCCTTCCTCTTCTAGTTTGTGAAATAATTTGGGTAGTGTTGATGTTATTTCTTCTTTCAAGTTCAGATAGCATTTTGTAGTGAATCCATCTGGTACTGGGATTTTTTTTTTTTTAAGTTGGGAGACTTTTTATTACTGCCTCACACTTTTTGCTATTTATGGATCTGTTTATTTACTTCATCTTGGTTTAATTTTGTATGTTGTATACATCTTGAAATTTGTCTATTTCTTTTTGATTTTTCTATTTAGTAAACTAGAGTTTTAAGATATGCATTTATGATTTTCTGAATTTCCTTGGTATCTGTTGCAATCTCTCCCTTTTTGTTTCTGATTTTATTAACTTGGGTCTTTTATCTTCTTTTGGTTAATTTGGTTCAGGGTTTGTTAATCTTGTCTCTTTGAAGGATGAGTTCTTCATTTTATTGATTTTTTTGTGTTCTTTTTTCTGATTCTATTTCATTGATTTTGGTTCTCATTTTGATTTTCTATTCCCATCTACTGTTTTGGAGTTTGGTTTGTTCTTGTTTTTCTAAGACCATCAAGCATACCAGTATGTTATTAATTTGAGATCTCTCAAAATTTTTGATGTCGGCATTTAGTGCTATAAACTTTCCTCTTAGGACTGGCTTCATTGGTTCCTATAGATTTTGGTATGTTGTTTTTATTTTTCATTCAATATTAGGAATCGTTTTTATTTTCTTCTTGACTTCTTCAGTGTCCTAATTATCATTCAATAGTGTGTCGTTTTGTCTTCATGAGTTTATGTGCTTCCTGTAGTTTCTATTGCTTTTGATGTATAACTTTATTTCATTGTGCTTGGATCGGATACAGGATGTCATTTCAATTTTCCTGTAGTTTTTGAGAGTTTCTTTGTCATATGCTGTCAATTTTGGAGAAAATTCCACAGGCTGCTGAGAAGAATGTGTATTCTTTATCATTTGGGTAGAATGTTCTATAAATATGTTAGGCACACTTGATTTGTGATGTCATTTAACACTGTCATATTTATTAATTTTTTTATT